TATAACACTAATTGACTGTTGATTATTGATTATATACATATAAACTCTTATATAAAAAATAATATAGTATAAGTGTTTTTACGGCTGAAGCATTGATTTATATTAGTTCAGCTTCAGCTCTATTTACTCTTGTCACGTCAATTTATATATTTAGTATTATTCATTTTTCTATGCCTTATTGTCTTAATTATTTGTGGTTGATTTGGTCTTAATTAGACCTGGCAAACGGGTGGGCCGGATGGATACAGGTCGGGTTAAAATGGTACAGGCAAAACGGGTCAAAATTCTAAATGGGTAAGGAAATATAAAGCTCGGACTCAGACCTTACAGGTAGTAAGGTCCGAGTGCACCCATAGGTCACCCTTTTTTTTCTTGGTAGATGTGGTGTAACTGATATGGAGTCACCCGTTTCATGTTTATGCATGATATGATATACTTTACACATGCATTAATGTTACTACATTTCCATAACTATTCCCAAAATATCAATATATCGGATAAGTATCATTCGTAATTAAGCTGTTATGAATGAATCCTAATAATTTAAAGTGATACCACTTGTTAGAGTTGGTGAACGTGGATACCCATTTTTAAAGTGCAACGAAAGATTTTACTGAATTGATTAATGGTTACCAAGTTAACCATGAATCAATATCCATAAGCGGTAAAAATAAAGCACACAAGCATATATATGGTTCAACTAAAACCACTCTTAGCCTACATTCATGGGACCTCGTCCAGATCGAAGCTAATCCACTATAATAACAAACATTACAAGATATCACTTAAAGTTGATTTTAGCTACAGCAAAGAGAATTCCCTGTTCTATGTTACACCAAACACCACCCTCTAAATCTCTAATGCTTTGTTGCTTCTAGGATCACTTTACACCAGGAACACTCCCGGAGAACGCTTGAGCTCCACCCAAGCTTCACATGCTGAAGCCATGCTCCAACATCAACAATGGAACTAAGTTCCAACCGCCATTCAACAAAGATGAAAGACGATAAAGGTTTAGCACCAAAACATAAAATGAACCTGTTAAGGAAAACACTCTTTGAAAAGTTTAGAGCACAAGTAATAAGAATAACCAGGTTCAAAAAGAAAAACAAACAAGGAAGAAGAATAACTTCCTTTTAGCTCACAATAAAGGAACCATGTTCCAAAGAAATGCTCATCAACAAGCTAAGATATGATCATCAATGAATGAACAAAAACCCATAAACAAGGAAGGGAATCGGACTAAAATGATCTGTAAAAAATCAAAGAACTAAACAATGTAAAACTAGGTTCAAAGATGCAAGGAAGAAGAAGATGGGTTTAAATAATCCTTGCTTGGCCAATCTCTTTAAGACAGGTGACGAACAATCTCTTTCATCTTTTGTTGGGACCACAAACAAAAGCTCACCAACTTGCAAGACCATAAGAGGAGAGGTGAACACCTGTAAAGAGAAAACTCACACAAAAAGCATGAATGAGATAAAACTTGATGGGCAAGATAATATAAGAAAAACGTCACATGTACAAAAAAAGCCAGACAGCAGATGCTTGCACAAAAGAACGATGTGTGCACATATTTGATCAACAATTCATTATCCACCATAACATAAGTTTGACAAAAATATCAACAATACTAAAACTTCATTTTATGTAGCTGTCCCACCGAATTTTCATCGAATTCTTGCTTTATTGTTTGATTTTAATAACGGATGATATATTTGGAAAAAGAGAGAAAAAAAAAAATCAGTGATTTCCTTTTGCTTTTTGCCTATCAATTATTACTTGGTTCAAAGTCTCATATTTTTATATGAATAATGCTACGGACACCGTAGGCTTACACCAAAAATTTTCACCGAATGACGTGTCATGCAGCCACGTAGCATATTAATAAATATTCCGTGAATGAACAGTCATCCATCAAATATAGAAGGGCGTTCATGATTATTAGACGGTCGTTCACCTATAATGGACACCCGTCCATGAGAAAATAAAAATGGACTCCCGTCCATATAATATGGATGGGAGTCCATTTACTATGGACGGGAGTCTACCTAGAATGGACGCCCATCCACTGTTTAAAATAAAAAAAATTAAAATAAGAATCATGGACGCCCGTCCATATATTATATGGATAGGTGTCCATTATTTAATTTAAAAAAATTTACACACAACACTTGAGCCTCAATCAATATCTAAAAGTAAATGTCGCTATCCTTCATTAAATTTGTTGTCTATATTCAAAGTAATTGGACAAATGTCATAAGAATATGGCCAAAACTATGCATTGCTTTCATGCTTTTTATTCTTATTAGATCCATGTCCACTTGTTGTTACAATTTTGTTGAGACTATGAATTTTTTTAATTTAAACAATGGACCGGCATTCACCTAATAGGGATGCCCGTCCATTGTGATTTTTGTGTAAAATTTTTTAATTTAAACAATAGACAGACGTCTATCTAATAGGGACATATGTCCATTCAGTAAGGACACTCGTCCATAATATATGGATAGACATCCATGATTTTTGTTTTCAAATTTTTTTAATTTAAACTATGGACGAGCGTTCATTATAGATAAACAGCCATTCAATAATCATGAAAGTCTGTCTATATTTAATAGATGGTCGTTTATTCACAGAATATTTGTTAATATGTTACGTGACTATGTGACATGTCATTCAATGCAAAATTTCGGATAGTCACATGTCATTCAATGCAAAATTTCGGTATAAGTCTTCAATGACTATAACATTATTCATTTTATATTGGAAAGTTGATAAAAGAGGGGAAGACTTGATAAAGGCAAACCGAATTTGACTCAAGTCAACTAAGTACGCGCATTAATGAGCCCTATTACATAATTTAAGATAATTAAACCCAAATGACTCAATAATTCAATATAATATGGAAAACATCTACCCAACAACGATTAAACAGTTTTTTCCCACCCAAGGTTTGCTTTAATGACAATCTTCCATTTAAAAAGTTTTAAAATACCAGTTTTCACTCAAACTTAATATTTCGTTACGACTCAAAGCCAATATTAAAAGAGAAAATTCTCTCTATCATCATAATTTAAACCTCTGATCTCCTCCCTACAAAACCCTTCTCACTCGATCACATCACCGTAAAGCTAGAGTTTTTTGTTTTTAGCTTATTTTTGACTGATTTTAGCGGTGAATATTCAATCGATCACCCTTATTCGATCTATCAGCCTCCACTCTTTAAAATCCTTCTTATCTTGGTTCTTGGTAACTCATCAAATATCAGCTAAGAAAGTGAAGTGTATTTTAGATATTAACGAAATATAAATTTTGGGTGAGAGAATGATATTTTAAAACTTTTTAGATGGAAAAGTGTCATTAAGACAAACCTTGCGTGGAAAAAGTTCCTTTACTGCATTAATTAGGCCTATTTGACTCAAGTCAACTAATTAAACCTTGGGTGATAAAGGCAAACCGAATTTGACTCAAGTCAACTAATTACTCGTATTAATTAGCCCAATTACATAATTTAAGATATTTAAACCCAAATGATTCCATAATTTAATATAATATGGAGAAACATCTACTCAGCAATTCATGTGAGCATGTGCAAATTCCAATAAGAGAAAAGAGTAAAACATAAAAAGAAGAGCTAGCTTTACCAATCCCTTTCACAATATTTATTTTTAATCATTTTAAGAATGAAGAAAATTCTTATCTCAATCGAATCGAATCAGTACGTAGTGCAGCCTGTGCAGGGATTAGATTAAATAATCATCAGGGAATGCTAGTTTAATACTCTGACTGTTCTATCCCATAGTTTGATGGGGTTGGGTATGGTCTTCCCAGAATCATACAGATAAATCCATACAGGATTCAATTTCAGTCTAGTGCCGCATTTATGGACTTTACATGAATCGCTTTGACTACTTATCTCCCTTCTTGGAAGCTTACCACTCACTATCTCCTTCATAAAATTATGTTGGGAGAACGACTTATACATACCTAAGATTTATCGTAACGATAAGTTGATACCCAAAAGGTTTTGAAATGACAAATAGATACTTTCCGTCATGTTCTGTTAGTGATTTCTGTTTATTACTGTTTATTAATAGTGAAAAGACTAAAATGCCCTTAAAAGTTTGAATTTTAGTTTTTTATAAATTTAAAAATTTCAAAAAACCCCCTAAGTTTACAAATTTCACTAAATACCCCAATATATAAAAGTTTTATAAAATAACAAAAACCCCCCCACCGGCAAGTGCCAGATTCCGGCCACTACCGTCGGAATCTGGCCGGAAAGTTGCGTTACGACACAGACCCGTCGGATCTGTGTCGTAACGCGTCGATCTGGCCTTTTCCGGCCAGATCCGTGGCTGATCTGGCCGGAAAAGGCCAGATCTACGGCTAGATCTGGCCGTCGACGCCGCAAAACTCCATCTGCGGCGTCGAAGGCCAGATCTGGCAGTAGATCTGGCCTTTTCCGGCCAGATCAGCCACGGATCTGGCCGGAAAAGGCCAGATCTGGCTGCTGCTTCGACGGCCAGATCTTGCCTTTTCCGGCAAGATCCGTGGCGGATCTGACCGGAAAAGGCAAGATCGGCACGTTACGACACAGATCCGACGGATCTGTGTCGTAATACAGTTTTCCGGCCAGATTCCGGCGAAGGTGGCCGGAATCTGGCACTTGCCGGTGGGGGGTGTTTTTGTTATTTTATAAAACTTTTATATATTGGGGTATTTAGTGAAATTTGTAAACTTAGGGGGTTTTTTGAAATTTTTAAATTTATAAAAAACAAAAATTGAAACTTTGAAGGGCATTTTAGTCTTTTCACTATTAATAAACAAAAATCACTAACAGAATATGACGGAAGGTACCTATTTATCATTTCAAAACTTTTTGGGTACCAATTTGTCATTACAGTAAACTTTGGGTATGTACAAGTCGTTCGCCCAATTATGTTTCCCCAATAAGGTCTCTTCCAAATTAATATCTTTCAGTTTTTGTCCTTTCCATGGCCAACTTTCTCAGATTTTTCTCTGTTCTCTTGTTTCTCTCCACTCCAGTATCATCCCAACTCAATGAATTCTTTTTTCATGGATTCAAAGATTTGAGCACCAACATAACCTTACGTCGAGAGGCAAAAATGGAGAAAAACAGTTTTCTTTGCTTAACAAACGAGACCTCTCGTTTACAAGGTCAAGCCTTCTATAGCTCGCCGATCCAGTTCAAGAACTCCACAAATGGACAAGTCTTTTCTTTCTCTACGTCTTTTGCTCTGGTTATTGTCCCTCAATATCCAAAACTTGGTGGCCATGGCCTCGCCTTCACGATCTCAACATCTAAAGACCTCAAAGGTCGTCCAAGTCAGTACCTAGGCCTCTTCAATGAAACCAATACGGGAAACTTCTCAAATCATTTATTTGCCGTTGAGTTTGATACAGTTCAAGATTTTCAGTTCGGAGATATTGACGACAACCATGTTGGCATCGACATCAACAGCTTGAATTCGAATGTCTCTTCAACTGCAGCCTACTTCGATGACAGTTCAACGAAACAAAATTTGAATCTCAAGAGTGGAGCACCAATCCTGGCTTGGATCGATTACAGTGCATCTGAAAATTTGTTAAATGTCACCATCTCTCCAAATTCTTCCAAACCAAGATTGCCCCTCTTGTCTTTTAACGTCAATCTTTCGCCAATCTTTCATGAGTTCATGTATATTGGCTTCTCTTCTGCAACAGGACTGCTTTCTAGTTCTCATTATATTTTAGGCTGGAGTTTTAAAATCAATGGAGAAGCTAGAGCTCTTGATCTCTCTTTCCTCCCTCCAATCCCGGACAAGAAAAAGCAGACAGGTTTGTACAAATACCAAACAAAAACTTTTTGATTCGAGAAATATATCTTTTACTGTGTGTTCACCTGAAAAACAACAAACCTAAAATCAAATTAACAAGTCCTTAGTAAGGATTATTATTAATCAGAATCTACCTCTTTCTTAGTGCTTTTAGTCAAAATTCTATTTCTCCAGTTTAGCATGGACTATTATTAGTATTTCAAAGAAAACTTTTATGAGAGAATTATTATTATTATTTGGTAAACAGGATATTCGTCTGTTGTATTGGAGGGTTATTTCCTCATGAATTCCGGTACTCATCCTCTTTATAATTTATAAAATGGATTAACTGTCCCTTGTTCACTTGTTTTCATTTTAGATTTAGTGTATACTTGTATTTTGAGTATAATTAGCTCCAAGCTAGGTTTATTTAGGAGTTGCTAGGAATAAAGATTATTATCATAGACCCTCTTTAGGATATTATTCAATTTTATATATAATTTCGTACTATAGATCCTCTTGAGATTATTAAACCTAACTAATTACGAAGTATAAAAACCCTTTAATAAGATATTTAAAACTTTCTAAAATAGTAAATTGATGTGGATAGAATTAAACGCCTAGGTAAAATAATTGAGTTTGATGAGAACCCAATGAAAAAATATTGTAATTTTAATTTCTATATCTTACTACATACAAACTTAATTGAGTAAATAAAACTGGTAAAAGAAATGGATCAAGACAATATTTTTATCTGAGTAAATGTTTTTGCTATTGGGTGCTGCAGCTCCTGAGATATTGAAATGGACGGGGATTTCACTTGCTATAGTGGTTGGATTAATCGTTATACTCGTCTTGGGTATCTTTTTCTTCATTAGATGGCGAACATTTCGACTAGAAGGTAATATATACAACAAATTAACCATATATATATGGAATGGAGAGCAAATAAATATGATTAAATATTTTATTGAATGCCAAGCTGATCAAACTTTTTCTTTTCAATTTCCAAACAGCAAAGTTTATGTTTGACTTAATGAGTGAAGCAAAGGAGCTTGAGATCGATGGAAAGAAAGGCGTCAATTTGAAAGTATATAGAGTGTCATCCATTATGCTAGCTACAGATAATTTCTCATCTGAAACTAAACTTGGAGAGGGTGGTTTTGGACCTGTTTACAAGGTATATTTGCTTTCACTAAAGGCTTATGTCTAACATATCAAGCAATGACTATTTATTATTGTTCAGGGTTTGTTGCCTGACGGGCAAGAGGTAGCAATAAAGAGGCTATCAGGAAGATCCAAACAAGGCCTAGTGGAGTTCAAGAATGATCTTTTAATTGTAGCTAAGTTACAGCACACCAATCTGGTGCGGCTCTTGGGTTTCTGCATTCAAGGGAATGAGAAAATATTGGTCTATGAATACATGCCAAATAAAAGCTTTGACACGTATATTTTTGGTATATATGCTTATTTCTTTAACTATCTATGCTTGGTTTCTTCACATTATTGAAACTTGTACTTGATTATTATGTTACACGTTGCTCAAACCTTTCTTTTTTCATTATAACAGATGAATCTAAAAGGAAGTTGTTTGATTGGAACAAATATATTAACATCATTGAAGAAATAGCTCACGGACTACTTTATTTACACAAGTATTCAAGACTGAGAATAATTCATAGGGACTTGAAAGCCAGCAATATATTACTTGACAAAAATATGAATCCCAAAATATCTGATTTTGGTATGGCAAAAGTGTTTACCACAACTCTTTCTGAAGCAAATACGAATAGAGTTGTAGGCACACGGTGAGTAAATTATAAATTTAAGAACCTTTCTTTGAATTTGTGTGGAAATTAAAGTTTGCTGCTCCAATGAACTTGATTATTCATTTTTTTTTTTTTTCACATAATAACTAGTTCTACTTTACGAATGAAATCTAGTGGTTATATGGCTCCTGAATACGCTATAGGTGGTATCTTCTCTGAGAAATCCGATGTATTCAGTTTCGGAGTTTTAATTTTGGAGATCATAAGTGGTAGAAGGTCCAACAACAATATCTTTTATGATGGTCAACCTCTCAACCTCGTTGCATATGTAAGTTCATAATGTAGCACTGCTGCTATTTTGATTTGTTAAAATTACTAACCTCTATTTATCTCAATGTTTAATATTCAATGGTTTTGACACAGGCATGGCAGTTGTGGAAAGAAGGTGTAGCCTTAGAACTAATGAATCCAACACTACATGATTCATATTGTGAAGAGCAAGTTTTGAAATGCATTAACTTGGCTTTGCTTTGTGTTGAACACAATCCAATGGACAGACCTCTCATGTCAGGTGTTATTTCTATGTTAACAAGTGAAGGAGTAAAATTACCCGTGCCAAAACAGCCTGCATTTTCCATTGAAAGAAAGATTGTTGTAGACAGTGCGAGTGGAATAAACAGGGCAGAGAATACAGTAAATAACTTAACTATATCTATAATGGATCCACGATGAAGACAAAGGGACAATTTTTTTTTTTTTTCCAGGACACGAAAGAAAGATTGGAAATCCTTTTGTAAGATAACTGACTTTACCATCAGCTCCACCTGGTGAAGACACAGCCACTTATGAGGCAGCTATGACACATCTCACAGTCCTACTTGGAAATAAGTTGTAGCTGCACTCTTCACACAACTATCAGAGCATGAATTCAGGAGATATTTTTGCTAATCTATGGCCTTCTAGTATCTCTTCCCACTAGTTTAAATTGGATCTTTTTTCTTTGTATTTTACTGAGTAAGGTGAACTGTAGTAATAAAAGCTCTCTTTTACTCTTCCTTTCTTGCCATTGTTTCAGTGTATTTCTAGTCAAAGTCTTGCATTTGCTGGACTCTGTGAAGCTTTCCCACTTATAATAATGAAAGATTTGATGGTGGAGCTCATTCTTATGTAGTTCTGAATTTATTGGGATTTCCAGGATGATGTATACACACAAATTTAACACCTGTTTCGATACAATCTAATGAAAATACTTTTCCGGTCGACCTTTTTTTCAAGAAAGAGTAATGTTGTATACAAAATAAGTAAGCATTTTGGATTTGAATCCAAATATTAATGTATAATTACTTCATCTACTCAACAATAATGCAGTATTTCACTTACCATGTCATCTCATTACACTCAGAAAAGCTCAACCTAGACTTAAAAGATTATTTCTAGGACTGGTGAATCAAAGTTAAAAACAGAGGGTGAGAGGAAGAAATGCCACACATAAAGGCTACTCTGCTTTCATTAAGCTTGTTGTTCAATGTAAGAGTACCATCTCATTCAGTGTTGTCATGTACCACCTTTTCTTATCAGATTAATTATCAAGGGCTGACGAAAACAACAGTATCGACCAATTTTTTTGATCATTTTCATGTTGCTGCAACAACAGACTCTCAACCCAGGTGATATACTTGATAATTCTATTCTCTTGTTTCTAGAAATAGGCAATTCACCTTACGATTTGATAGTCTTAATACCACTAAAGGATCCACCAATTAGTGGTATACATGGAACATTGTACCAAGGTGTTCATAGTAATGAGCCCTTCTGACTAGCAATCGAGACAAGCCTATGTTCTTGGAACCCAAATCAATTGGTTCCCATTCCTTAAAAAAATGTAGGATATCCAAAACCAATCACCCCTAAATGACACTACCGCCATATAGTTAGAATATATGGATTTGCATGTTCGTTTGTGTTATCAAAGTTTGATTGAAGAATCATTTGTTAATAGACTATGGATTTTCAAAAGGGTATTATAGTCATATCATGTAAAATTTTGAAATAACGGGGTTAGAAGAGCCATAGCGCTGTTAACAAAATTTCAAATGGATTTGCTTAGGAAGAGATTCACATGTCCACTTTCTGGCCCATTGTTAAAGATAAATATGGTTCATTTATATCAATGACCGACCCGGCCCATTATTATTTCTGTAATGCCTTGATGATGTGCTAAAAATTTTAAGAATTTCCCTAATAACGTATCCCGTCAACAATTTAATGGTCTTTTTTTTTTTTTTTAATGATCGGGAGTCTCTAAACCAGTTTATACACATCTCAACTAATCTCTTGGACCCTAAAACTATCAAACAGGTAAGAGTTCCAGTGACTATCCCTATTAACAATCGAGAAGAGATTCAAACTCAAAATTTTTAAGTAATAAATTACACCCAGGAGTCCGTATTAAACCATTCAATCACCCAAAAGTGAGCGAATGAATATATATGGCTGCGTTTGGTTTAATATTTTTATCCCTATTCTGGATCCTATTTTTCAAATAGCGTTTGGTACAATATTCTCAAAATATTACCCTATTTTTTTTAATTACATTTTAACCCCATAAGGTTATTAATTTCACTAAATACCCCCTGAAAAAAAAGTTTAAAAATTAACAAAAACACCCCCATTAACCCAACTTGTCAGATTCCGGCAACCACCGTCGGTGATAGCCGGAATCTGTACAACGGCCAAACTTCCGACCAGAAATGGCCGGAAGTTCACCGCTGTGGCCTTTTCCGGCCAGATCCACCACGGATCTGGCCGGAAAAGGCCAGATCTGGCCGTCAGCGACGGCCAAAGAAATGGCCGTCGTTGACGGTCAACGACGGCCAAATCTTGGCCGTCGTTGACCGAAAACGACGGCCACATCTTTGGCCGTCTCTGACGGCTAAAGATGGCCGTCGTTTGGCCTTTTCCGGCTTTCGACGGCCATTACAAACCTTAGATCTGGCCTTTTCCGGCCAGATCCACCATGGATCTAGCCGGAAAAGGCCATAACGACGTGTTACGGCACAGATCCGACAAGTCTGTGCCGTAACGAAATTTTCCGGTCAGATTCCGGCGGTGGTGGCCGGAATCTGACACTGCAGATATGGGGGTGTTTTTGTCATTTTACATGTTAGGGTCTTTAGTTAAATTAGTAAATCTAAGGGCTTTTTTATAAATTTTTAAAATTTACCTCGTAATACTCCCATATCCAATAACCCAATACTATCCCTAAAATCCTATCCAAAATACTAA